GATCTTTCATAGACAGTTATTAATGGCTTGTTACGTCATGTCATTTCTGCTCTGTACTGTCAGGGTGGAAGTGCATGGCCCTCTGGGACCTGGCGGGAGAGGCTTTCTTTCTTATTTCCACTGAGATCTCTGAGGAATTAACTTTTCTTCCTGGTCATCCCTTCACATTGGGTTTGCCACCGCTGTTTAGTTCTTGCCAGTCTCGTGCAGTCTGTGTTTACCAGCAGACTTGTCAGTCTGGCACTTTAGTCCTGAAACTGTGTCTTTCCCCATCCTGCCCCTATCATATTGTTCCTTTTATACATCTGATGGAAATTGGTAACAATTTTTAATGACTGAAGCTTACTGAAGTTTATTCTTCTATTTTGGTCATAGCAATTGTTTCTGATTTTCCAGATTTTCTCTTTAAAATTACACTGCTATTAATACATTTTTATGTTAATTAAACCAACAAATTTTATTGATCTTAAACAGATGATAAAAAGTGCCGGGCACTTTTCTAGACACTGAATATATAGGTGTGCATAAGGCAGACAGCTTGCTCTCGAGGAACTTAGCTTTTGGTGGGGAGATGAACAGTAAACACAGTATAAGATAGTAGAAGGTGCTATGTGGGGAGCTGTTACAGGGTGATGTGAGAGAGTGGTTATCGGGAGTCTACTTTAGATCAAGTGATTGGGGAAAGGTATGAACAACAAGAAGAAGCCAGCCATGCAAAGATGGGGGCCGACAATTCTAGGCAGTGGGAACAACCTAGTGCCCAAGGCCCTATGCAGGAACAGAAGGAGCCCTGTGTGGCGAAGGTGTCGTAGTGAGGGATGAAGAAATCTGCTCGGCAGGGGCCACATTTTACAGCCCATGGCAGGTAGTTTGCAGTGTGACAGGAAGCCACTGAAGTATTTTAAGCAAGAAAATGACAGAATATGGTTTATTACTTAAAAATCTCTCACTCGGGGAAAGAAAAGATCACTCTGTTGTGTGGAAAATGGATTTACTAGGGGGAACTGTAGGAACGGGAATGTTAGCTAGGAAGCTATTACATAGTCCAGAGAATAGATTATGGTGGCTTAGTTTGGGTGGTGGTAGAGGTGGAGAGAAGTAGATATGTTACATATTTATAGAAATTAAGGAAAATGAATAGAAATTGAAAAAATATTTTTATTTCAAGCTTGCTTTGGAACGTCAGAAAACTGCAGAGAGAGAGCGGTTGTTTCTTGTGTATGCTAAGCAGTGGTGGAGAGAATATTTGCAAATTCGACCCTCACACAACTCACGACTGGTGAAGATTTTTGCGCAGGTTTGTAAATTGTATTTGAAAAGTTTCACGCTTGTATCTGAGATCTACTGTGTATATGTAAATTGCATTTAATTTGCATTTGGAAAATCTATTTATTCCAGACAAATGAAAGTTTATTTGTAAAATAGAATGCTGATTTTGTAATACTCTATTTCACTGAGTGGATAAGTGAAGTAATACGGTATATATATATATATTTTTTTTTTTTAATTTTGCTTTTAAATTGTAAATAATTTTTGTGTTTTTAAATCCTTTCTGTATATATTTGATTTAAAGTAGATGAAATTTATTTTGTTTAACTTGGAGTATGTCCTTACTTAATACTTGGAACTGAATAATTAACCAGTAGGACACTTTGCCATTTATGTGTCAAGAAAGTGGCATCAGGATTGATGGAAGACTAATTAACAACCTGCTGTATGCAGATGACACAACCTTGCTTGCTGAAAGTGAAGAGGACTTGAAACACTTACTGATGAAGCTCAAAGACTATAGCCTTCAGTATGGATTGCACCTCAACATAAAGAAAACAAAAATCCCCACAATGGGACCAATAAGCAACATCATGATAAATGGAGAAAAGATTGAAGTTGTCAAGGATTTAATTTTACTTGGATCAACAATCAACACCCATAGAAGCAGCAGTCAAGAAATGAAATGATGTATTGCATCGGGTAAATCTGCTGTAAAAGACCTCTTTAAAATCTTAAAAAACAAAGATGTCACTTTGATAACATGGTATTTTCATTCACTTCATATGCATGCGAAAGCTAGACAATGAACAAGGAAGACTGAAGAATTGATGCATTTCAGTTATGGTGTTGGTGAAGAATATTGAATATGCCATGGACTGCCAGAAGAACAAACAAATCTGTCATGGAGGAAGTACAGCCAGACTGCTCCTTAGAAGTGAGAATGGTGAGACTTCGTCTTAACTTACTTTGGACATGTTATCAGGAGGGACCAGTCCCTGGAGGAGGACATCATGCTTGGTAAAGTAGAGGGTCAGTGAAAAAAAGGAAGACCCTTGACAAGATGGATTGACACAGTGGCTGCAACAATGGGCTCAAACTTACCTACTATTGTGAGGATGGCTGGCGTAGGACCAGGCAGTGTTACGTTTTGTTATACATGAGGGTCGTTATGAGTCAGAGCCAACTCGATGGCACATAACAACCACAAAGCTCTTGTGTGCAAAACTGAGGCCTTGGGTGTATGTGTTTTTTCTAGGGTTTTATTTTTTTTTTCTTAAGGCAATGTTACATGTAATAATTCTATAACCAAGACCTTAAAGGCAGTGGCCAATAATATTTATCTGCAGCATTTCAGCTATATATCTCTACCTCTATTTTTCCTGTGCCCTAAGCCCCGTTTTCTCCCATTCACATACCAACCTGAAATATCTGATCAGATCCATCTAGTTTTTGTAATTTCTGAGGAACTGTTCATATATTTTCCATGTATTTAGTCACATGTAGATGATGTTATATGAGTGCAGTATAATATTCTGACTTACATTCCTCAGATCCTTGAGCATTCGTCTACTTTACCCTAGGGGTTCAATTTCTAGAATGAGAGCTTGGAAATGGGAGGCCCTAGCCTGTTAGTGGTAGGAATGAGGAAAACTGCTTTTGATTTTCTGGTACTGTTGTCTGTATATTAACTGAGTAGGTAAGGGAGCATTTATGTCAGGAAAAGGGCAAGGGAAGACCAGTCAAAATATAAATGGCCCCCTGCTGCCTGTATAGCTAAGATGTGGTTATTCGTTGCTATGTACTTACGGGGTTGTCATGTGTTGGAATTGTCTCAGCAAGGGTGGATGTAGAGTCTGGTACCGGAGAGGGCTCAGGAAAGAGAAGGTGGTGGATCAGAGAAATGGCAGGTGATAGCAGAGGAGGAAGAGGGTGGGATATGCAGCTGAGGGAATCAAGAAACTGGGATTTTATCTTATGAGATACTACTTAACCAAGTTTTCTGCTTAGAATTCATTGTTAGAAGATTTGAACCACGTGATAACCACATAATAACCATATGAGATTGTGAAGTGGCCAAGCATTACCCCTTTTTGTAAACAGTGTTAAGGACTGTGAAGTGAGTCTTCTCTAAGATCAAACGTCAGTAGTGGCAGAGTCCACATTAAATTGTAGTTTCAACTAGTGCCTTTTTGGTTTGACCTCTTTCCGTATTCATAGCTCAAATGAAATGCTTATCGTATTTAGATCCCCAGAGCTGTTTCTCACTACTTCCTATATTTAGTTAGATATGGTTAAGGAACAACAGTTGCTTAAGACAGTCAATCTAATTAAAAAATACAGTTTTAAACAAAAAAATATTATATATTGTCTGGAAAAGAATTTCCAGTGCTTCAAGGCACTAGAGGAAATAGTTAAAGAGCAGTGCTGTCCAACTTTCTGCAGTGATGGAAATGCTTTATATCTGTGCTGTCCAGTATGCTAGCCCCTGGCCGTGTATGACTGTTGAGTACTTGGAATGTGGGTAGTGCAACTAAGAACTGAAATTTAAATTTCATTTAATTGTAATTAATTACAACTTAAATAGCCACATATGGTTATTGGCTTCCTTATTGGACAACACAGGCTTAGAGGCTGAAATATTGAAGTTTTCAAGATCTTTAAATAGCTCATGGGGATATATTTAGATAATGTTAGAAATGTGGCCTTGTCCTAGAAAATTTAAGACTTTGGATTGCTGTAATGAAACATAATGATACCTCTTATATTCTGAGGTGCTACTGTTGATGATGGATTTGGACAGATTCATCCAGTTTTTATGCACTCATCCCTTTCTTGCTTACTGTAGGAGTTGTGAAAATAAGGC